ACTACTACCACCGCCGGAGAGTCTACTAGTCTATCGTCTTCAGCAGCGACCCGCGCGCGTCCCGAAAAAAACCAAGGCACGCGCGTGGTACTGGATCTAACGGCCGACCTCCTCGGACCGCGCAACGTGACCTGCGACAACTTCTTCACGTCCTACGAGCTCGGCCAGCGGCTCCTAGACGCGAACCTGACCATGCTCGGAACCGTTAGGAAGAACAGACCCGAGCTCCCTACCGCGCTCATCTCCGCTAAAGGTAGAGCCGCATTCTCCTCCGAGTTCGCGTTCGCTACCGGACCGGGACCGGGAGGAAACAGAACCACCACGCTGGTCTCGTACGTACCGAAGAAAAACAAGAACGTGCTGGTGATGACTACGCTACCGTGGCGCTCTCGAACCGCAGGACCATCATCCTCAGCGGCAGCTTCATCGTTCACCGCGAGCGGACTCAGCGAGCGCCCCGATCGCAAACCCGAGCTGGTGCTCAAGTACAACGCGACCAAGGGAGGAGTCGACAACCTGGACAAGCTGGTGGCCACCTACAGTTGCAGGAGGATGACCTCCCGCTGGCCCGTGGCCGTGTTCCACAACATACTCGACGTGTCCGCGTACAACGCTTACGTGATATGGCGAGAAACGAACCCGGGCTGGCTGTCCGGGCATCGCAACAAGCGCAGGTTCTTCCTCGAGCAGCTGGGTAAAGCGCTCGTGGCCCCTCTTATAGAGAAAAGACGCGGGCTGCCCCGCTCCGAGGCCTCGCTCGCGCTGGTCCGATGCGTGAGAACCGCTGCGAGCGCGAGCGCGAACGCGAGCGCGAACGCGAACGCGAGCGGGGCTCGGTGCGAGTCTCGTCCGCATTCTCGTGCTCATCCACAACCGCCTTCGCGAGAGGACCCCTCTGAAACTGGGTCACGTGACAGAACCGAACCGCTCCAGCAGCAGCAGCAGAAACCCCAAGCCAGCAAGAGGAAGCGGTGTCAGATATGCCCCGCTAAAAAAGACAGCAAAACCTTCACCACGTGCCGAGGCTGCAGCAAGTACGTGTGCAGGAGCTGCGCGCTTCCGTACTGCCCTTCGTGCGTGTGAGCGCGTGCGCGTGGTAGATGGTTCATCTCCACGGAGGAGATGAACGAAGATCGAGATAGCGGGAGGGTTAAAAAATACAAGTTTATTTATGGAATAAAAAAAATTATTCACTACTCCTGTTCTGCTCTGTCCACCCATCAGATCTGGAGCATAGGAAGCCATTTTTGTGCTGCCTGGGCAAAGTCAAAGACTTCTGTCCCCATTGGTTCAGTCAGGACATCTATAACAGAAAATATACAAACAAAACAACTTTCAGTAGTGAAAAGGATGTGAAGATGAACAATGTCAGTCGGGCTGAATTGGCGCTATATTATATATATATAAGTTAACTTACTTGAATTCACTAATGTTACCAATTTGCCAGTTTATTGAAGATGTAGACTGCTTGGCTGTGGTGGAATCCATTGATGTTTATAGTTTAATATTATTTAAATTGTCAAACATTAAATGCAGTCATAGATTGAATCTGGAGGCTGAAACTTGTAGAAGACTGACAGATGTATCAAGTTAGCTGGCTTATTTAAAGTTAAATGACAGGGGCATTAGCTAAGATCAGTTACGAGCATGAGAAAGGTGTGCATATATTTCGCAAAGCAGTCAAAATCTGAGAAAAGATAAATTACAGTTTTTAACATAATTTACAGTCCTGTACAGGATATTATCTTCTGGTGATAAAGTTAGCATTTATACTAGAGAAGTAACTTATCCTAATACGATGGAGCTTGGATATTGTGCTATTTGTCAGTATAAAATGGTATTGAAACACTTGTATATAGTCTATGACTGCATATAATGTTAGACAATGTCAATAAATGATAAATGTCTACAAATTTGGTACAATTAAACATTAGATAAATAAATATGTGCTTACCTGATGTGGACTTGTGAGATGTGTGGGGTTCAGGAACGTTGATCCACCAAGCGATGGTCTCCCGGTCAATAATGCTGCATTGACTTTTCAATCATATAGTATTTTCCGGTCAACTATAAATCCATGGCTTTTATCACGTCATTTCCCGGTCAACTATAAATAGATGATTTTTCAATCATGTTTCCCTGTCAACTATAATTCAATGTTATCCAACGAAGGTTAAAATCAAGGGCAACTGGACTTGGTTGAAGATACTGGAAGACGTTTCGTCCCTCATCCAAAGGACTTCTTCAGTTCTGACTGACTGGCAGTTGACTATAATTCAATGATTTCTCAATCATATTTCCCGGTCAACTATAAATCCATGGCTTTTCAATCCTGTTTCACGGTCAACTATAATTCAATGACTTTTCAATCATGTTTCCCGGTCAACTATAATTCAATGACTTTTCAATCATGTTTCCCGGTCAACTATAAATCAATGGCTTTTCAATATCATGTCATTTCTGGTCAACTATAAATAGATGATTTTTCAACATTGTTGTTGTTACCCAATCAACTACAAATCAATGCTTAATCAAGTATAATCGGGGCAACTATAAATCAATATTATTCCAATGTCACGCTCATACATGGTCGTTTTTCATCAGTACTGCAATATTGATTCAACATTTATTTAGGGTTGAGATTTCAATCTCAACCATTCTGATGATTCAGATGGAAAATCAATATTTATTCAATGTAGTCTTGCTATCTGGGCAGTGTCTTCCAAAGTAATCGGAGGATCACACATTAACTTTTCCTCCTGGCTAATTGGATTTACATTGTACCCAAACTTGGTGTTATATAAAGTTGAATACTATTTATAATTTAAGCTGCAAGCAGTGTTGGGCGGACCTTTGCATGTGTGCACGTGCATTTAACTATACACCATCAACAACAGTCCAGGATTTATTTAATCTCAATTGGAAACTAAAGAAAAGAAAATACTTGGGAGTTAATATCACTAAAGAGTTATCTAAATTATACGAAGCAAACTACAACAAGATAAATTAGGAGACACAAAAAGACATTGATGACATTGAAAGATCTAATCTGCCACTAGATTTTTGAATTATGGTTTGGAATGATTAAAAGACAGGATAAAGAAAGATGCATATCTACTAAAGTGGATAGCATTTGATAGTAATTTCAAGCCATCCTGATATGATAAGGGTTTTAAACAGTGGGTCACCAAGGGAATCACGGCATGGTGCACGTTAGGGAAGGATGGAGAACTGGAGTGTTTCCAGAATATGAAGGAAAAATATGATCTAGGCAAACATGAATTCTGTAGGTACTACTAAGGGTCTACTATAAGAAAGAAATTAAAAGAGACCCCTCCATCGAAGTAGACAGTGTGATTCAAACTATGATTGATTTGTACAAAGATACTGAAACTAGAATTATATCCACACTATACCAAGCACTGATGGCAAATAAGCATTCAACCAAATATGTATAAGAAAAATGGGAAAAAACGCAACACAAACATTTTAGATAATCATTGGCAAAATATGTGGAATATACAGTACATATTATATTACACCCTAGGTTAAGAGTAATTACTCAAACATAAATCTTCCATGCTGGAGAGATTGTGGAGCATTAGAAGTGGACCACACACATATATTCTGGAAATGTCTACAAATTCTACCGTTATGGAAATTGACACATTTTGAAGCTATACAGAAAATATTGGGATATGATCTAGCTATGACTTACATGGTATTCTATTTTTGTAACTTCACGAGGGAAATGTTCAAAAGAAAGATACCTGCTCAAAATATTGCTAATAGCTAGCAAAAAGCTATTACCAAGAAATGGCTGTAGGTGGAACCTCCTACTCAAGAACAATGGACAGAGATAGTAGAGGAAATATACATAATGGAAAAACTGGCATCATTTAAGAATGCAAGAGACACAACTGGTTGGAAAATGGCAGAAGTGGACATTGTTCAAGACCTAAAACAGCAATGAGGAACATCTAACACGATGGGAACTGCTAGAATAAACTGACCATTGAATGTAAACTCTCAACATGCATTTTCTTCTTAATTTTATTTTATCTGTATGTTTGTTACATTTTGGACACTACCTTAATTCATCTGTCAAATGTATTGTTAACCTAAGTGTATGTACAACAATTATTTAACATGTAAAAGATTAATAAAAAATCTAAGTAGAAAAAAAGCAGTCAGTGACCTTGTTAAAGTATGGACTGTAAAACCTTTTCTTTATTGAGGTTTTAGAGACAAGCCAGAAGTCTGTATGTGTCATCTTTATTGCTCCAGGTGTATATCCTGCTATTCAGGAATATCTCCCTCCATACACAAGTGGAATTAAACCTGCTCAAATTTTAACAGTAGACTTTGATTGTGAGGGTTGACCTGGAGTCGGCTTATCACTAACCTCATTCAAAATACTGAAGTCACACCCCAGTTTTTAGCTGTTTCGCAAATAAAAACAAGGCCTTACGTTTTACATTGTTTCTTAACCCCCTGGCCGGCCTGACAGATCTGCACAGAGGTTGGAAAAGACAGATCAACAGCTAAATAAACTATATGACTGTATATGTATGATATGTTTAATGTAGAATTGTTATGCTTTAAAGCCTGCAAAAGTCTGCATCAGATCTGGTACATGCACAGCTGATCTGCACTGTCTAGTTTTTCTGCTTGAAGTACAAAATGTGTAAGCTTTTTAAGCAAACAGATGTTTGCTGTGTTGTATAAATAAAATATTAGCTTATGCTGCCAATGTTAGCTACTAAGATTGTTTAGCTGTCATATGCAGTACAGATAGTCGAGTCAGACCTGTCAGAATAATTCACTCAGCTCATCATCATCCTCACGCTGATGCTGTCCACCATCCCACAGTTCCTCATGCAGCTACTAAAGTCTGTGTTTGGGTTTGATGATCACGTGAGTGTAGGTGACTTCATCTTCATCATCATCATCTTCCATGTTGTTAGCGCACCCTGAGCTACTCTGAGCAGCGTCCCACACATGTTGTCATAATTACAAGGCAGGAGCCCACCTTGGCCAAACTTTTCACTGTTCCTTGCAGCTCCTAAGGGGTTAACTCTGACGTAATCTGTGTCCTCTGTCTTTGGGCGAACAGGCAACTCCTCAAACTGGGGAAAAGGGCAATAACAAGGAATCACTGAGCAGGAATAACACACAATGAATGTAGCTGCCAAGCAAATATCATCAAGAGCTGATAATGAACATGTGTTCTGATCAAAGACTGTATTCTGCACTAAGTCAGCAACATGCAGCCCCATCTTTAGTGTCTAATAACTTTTACACTGCAGCACAATGCAAAATATGAAGCAGGCACAAGAGAGGAAAAAGCTCACTGCCAACTTGGTGCTGACAGTCATGTCTGTCACATTAACATTGGAACATCAGTCCAATACAGTCAGTCAAGAATCATGAGGAGTCAGACAATGAGACAGATTGGTGACAGTAAAATAATTACTCATATGCTCTGTCCTAGTGTAATTATCCCTCTTTGCAGAGGGAAACTGTGCAGTGAGGAATAATTTCACTTTTACCTTAACCTTAAATGGTTTCAAATGTTGGTCTGCTTGTCTGACTGTTGAAGTAACCAAACTTCATCTTCAACTCACCTCTTCATCCAGGCTGCTTGAGGTCTCCTTATCATCCCCTATAAAGATAGATAGCAACATTTTCCATCTCTCAACTGAGTTACTGTTCAACTGAATTACATTCATACTGCCCATCTGTCTGCAATTTGAAATGCAGTCTCAGGCCTCTGGAACAGACACTTGAATCAATTGTTCCAGGGAGTTCAGCTCCCAGTTAATGTTGGTGGCTGAAAGTCTAGATATATCCATACAACTCAACCCTTTCACAAAACACACACTCATCTGATCTGTTGTGTATATACAAATATTTATTGGTATGGCATTAAAAATGTAACTGTACAAACAACGTTTGTTACGTTGTGGTCAGATAAGAGAAATCATTCATACCTTCAGCCTGGTTATCAGGTGGGGGAACCTGATGACGATGGTGACTGTAATACTGGGCGACTGAGTTTGCGTACATATTTGCATGGACGTTAACTGCTGACAGCGGTGTTCTCCTTACAAACAACACACAGCACCTTTGTCTGAGTCTTTGACCTAAAACACAACACTGTAGTTAGATCTTATTCATTTGCAGTGAATGTAACATATACAAGGAAAAGAAAACTTAAATCTACAGTACAGCAACAAAGTGTAGTCGAGCATTTCCTTGAATCGGGTTGAATTTTTGATTTATTAATGATATCAATTCATTAATAATCCATTGTATTTATTTACCTGTGTCCCACATTTAAAGTGCAACACTGTTAACATAGTAGGACCCATCCACTAAAAAAATGTAACATTCCTTAAAACAGTTATTACCAGGGAGTTACATCTTCAAGACTTTGGACAATGGCCATGTCACATGTTAGTACCTTGCTTTCATTTTCTCTTAATATGTGGGAAAGTAACATGTTTGTTTAGATGTTGGCTTTAACATGTAATGTGTTAGTAGGTAGTTAACAGTATGTCAGTTAATGATAATAAACACAGAGTGAACTCTTGGTCATTCCAGCCAAGCAATCTATCCACCATAACATCAAACTACAAACTGACTCCTCAACCCTCACTCCAACCAGGGTGATGAGAAACTTGGGTGTCATGATTGATGACCAGCTGTCCTTTTCAGACCATGTTGCTGCTGTCTCTCGGTCGTGCCGTTTTGCTCTATACAACATAAGGAAAATCAGGCCCTACCTCACTCAGTACGCCACCCAGCTTCTGGTACAGGCCATGGTTATCTCTCGCCTTGTCTACTGCAATGCCATTCTAGTAGGTCTTACAGCTTGTGCTGGGAAACCCCTACAAATGGTTCAGAAAGCCCAAAAGGACTCATGTCACTCCATTAATGAGTGACTCCACTGGCTACCCATGGCCTCCCAATTCAAGTCACTAATGCTTGCATACAGAGCTACTACTGGGTATTCACCCATCTACCTAAACTCCATAATACAAGTCAACGTTCCTTCCTCCAATGAACGCCGCCTGGCTCTGCCATCCCTTCACACAAAGCAATCCCAGTCCCGGCTATTCTCATCTGTTCTCACCACGATGGTGGAACGAGCTACCACATGCCATCAGAGCAGGGGTGTCCCTCTCTAACTTCAAGAAGCTCTTGAAAAGTCATCTCTTCCGAGAACACTTCCTCTTATAACACCTCTAACTCCTAACTCCTAACCTCTAACATGCACTTCCTGTGCTCTTCTTCTATCCCCTTACAATTATCTTGTATTGATTGCACTTTTTGTTAACTCTTACTTCCTTCTCTAGGTATTTACCCCATTGATGTGATATGAACTATGAGCTCTTACTAGTATGTATTGTCAGTAGATCTGTATTTGATGCTCTGTTGATGCTTGTATGTTGTTCCTCAAATGTAAGTCACTTTGCATAAAAGCGTCTGCCAAATGAGTAAATGTAAATGTAAACACAGAGAAACTTGCTTGCAGAGATGCAAAAACGGATGTCATGAAGGTAGTAAAGCCAGAAAAACTGCTTTGCAAAAGCTCACTCCTACACCAGCAAGTCCTGAATTTACCCAGAGCAGTTTGCTTCTTCTGGTTCAGGCTCCGCGTGTCAGGGTCAGGAGAAAGGCTAGTTTTAGGTACATAGAACATTGAACATGTGCTTCCTATGCACAACACTTGTGACTAAGTTTGGGTACTTATGGGGAAAAGAGAAACAGGAAGGCTTTACTCAATTAAGGGCAAATGGCTTGGAAATTGCCTTGACATGATAACTCTTGCTTCTGCCAACCTGTAATTTGTAATGCGTACAGGTAAAAATGACATCATGTTTACTGCACATTTTATAAAGGTGTAGTAATCTAGTGGTGGAGTCACTGAATCATGTATTTGTTTTATTTTATTTTAGGCAACTAGAACTTAGCAAGAAAACAAGACAACAAAATAAGATTGTTGACTTAAAGAAGAGCACAGCCAAATGTAGAAACCGGATCCAGCGGATTAGAAAGGGACATGCCTCACCTCAAGCACAAATCAATAAGCAATCCTCTAATGCGAATCTAAGAAATTCACTTTTGTTTCATCCTTTGAAAAACTCAAGAGTGATAACAAGGAAAATACCACCTTTAACAGTTGGCAGAAAAGTCCTTGAGACTGTCTGACATCTCTCTGTCTGTCAGCAGATACCAAAGGAAGCTGCCACTCAGAACCGCTTGTGCCCAGCAAAGATAAGGTTTTTCTACATTCATGATGATTACAGTAAAGCTATCAGCGGGGTTACCACAGGGAAAAGGCTGACAATAACAAGAGCCAAGAAAAGGTGCAGAAGAGGAAAGTTCCTCTCTGAAAATGTGGACTCCACCACCTCCTATTCGCCCTTTCTATGTTGTCCATCCCTCGCTGGCAGTTTAGAAAAAGCTATACCAACTTTGTGTCAATATCCGTGCTCAGTCTGTGAACTGTGACCCCTGAATAACAGGTGTATGTAAGGGGAATGGTCAGATTGCAAAACCAGATGCTATTCCGTATCCAGCCAATAAAATACCAAAGGTTATGTCTCCTTTACTTCAGCAGTCAGTTGAGAAACGAATGTGGAAATGTCAAAGGTCACCCTCAAACAGCAAGTGGAGAGCACTCAGGAGGAACTCTAGCAGAGTCTCACACCCAGTGAATGCCTAATCCACATCTATTTATGGATGGGGAATGTGGTATTATGGTTGTAAATATAGCTCTGAGATTGTAAACAACTAGCACTCTGTGTCTCCATCAAAATGTAAAGGTCTGACCCGCAATATGGCAGCACCTGAAGCCAGTGCTTGACTGTGTCAAAAAAGAGCAAACCACCATCTCTGCGGTCCACTTCTTCAGTGACGGCCCATGGACACAATATAGGCAGCGAGACCATTTCTACCTCTTTAGTACTGAACTCTTCAACAGAGGGTTTGAGGCTGGGTTTCTTTGAAGCCAGTCATTGGAAGGCTGCCTCTGATGGGTTGCTGGAGTGCTCAGGAGGACAGCTTGTCAGCCAAGGTACCAACATTCCAGATTCTGCTATACTTTTCAAGGTACTGAAAGCCTCCCAAACAACCATCAGGCTTTTTTATGTGGAGCTGTCGAAAGGGCAGTGGAGGGAATGCCACTGAACAACCCTGCTGTGGCATCAACAGTGAGGCTCCACCCGGTGGTCACTGTTGGCCCAGGAAACATTAAATACTGTGATGTTAGCTGCCTTATTGTCACTACTGCATTTAATACATTAGGATGTTCTTTAATGAATTACTACAATGATTCCAATCATTATCATCTCTTTTTTCTATTGAGATTTTGTATGCTTTTCTTAAACATCAGATTCACAGTCAGCGAAGACAATACACCTGTTTGAACAACATTTGAGAGGCTGTGGTTGCTGCTTCAGCGAAAGTTGATTGTGAACAAATCAAGAAACTGATGCAGTTCATTTTGTGTCTCTTCTTCTCGATGCGCTTTTTGCGCCCCACTTGGAATTAAAGAATGAAATTTCTGGCACATAAGGTGCATTTTCTAAATAAAGAAACGTTGAAAGTGTTAGCAAATGCTTTAATTCTGCCACACTTCGACTATGCTTGTACGACATGGTACAGCAGTACCACCAGGAGAATAAAAGTTCAACTGCAAATGGCACAGAATAAATTAGTCAGGTTGATCTTGAACCTCAACAATAGGACCCACGTCAGCTCTTCTGAACTGAAGGATTTAAAATGACTGACAGTTGAAAACAGTGTGAGGCAGTTGAAACTGAGATTAACACAAGATTTTGCATAGGAATGAGCCATGGTATTTTAAAGGTTATTTTAAGCTTATTAGGAGCTCTCATAGCTACTCAACTAGCGGCAGTGCCACTGACATAGTACCTTGTAGATTTAAGAGCTGTTCTGGGCAAAACACCTTTATATACACAGCAGCATTGGAATGGAACTCCCAGTTGAGATTAAATTAAATCAGTCAGATCACTGTTTTAATCGACCATGTGGTGAATGGTTGTTAAATGCTAATTAGATTGAGTTTTTATTCAGTCTTAAGGAATATTTTTATTGTACTGCAGGTATTTGTGTTTCTTTTATTTTATTTATTTGTATTACAATGTGTTAGGTCTTTTGGTTGTATTTTGCAAGGCCACCCTCACCATCGGATGGCATTTTTATGCATTTGTTTGTTTTGTCTACTTAAGAAAGGCTGGAGGACAAGGAGGGATTGTCCTTTTTGTTCCTGTCTCTTTGAGAAACAAGCAGCCCTGTGACCAGTGTGTTGTGTGTGTGTGTGTGTGTGTGTGTGTGTGTGTGTGTTTTAGTTTTCTTTTGCTGTCTTATTTATTTTGAGGAAGGAGACTTGTGGCCTGGACTATGAAGCGAGGTAACAGGCTTATCCAGGTAACTTCAGGAGTAACTTTGTGACGCTGGATGTAACTTCCAGATTAACCTGAACTACGAAAGGTGGATAGGTGTTAACTGAGGTCTGTTGCCATGGCAATTTACGCTGCCTCTCTAAACTGCTCAGATCAAGTTATGTTTGTGGTTTACTCGAGGTTACCCTGTATACATGGACTACACACCAGTGTTAATGATGAGAAGTATTATAGCTATTAATTCACAGCATTTGATAAAATCTGTTTCGATTTCATCCTGATTTTTTCCACTGCGGTTGCAGCTGAAAGGATGTTATTCTTAACACAATAACATTATGTTCATACAGCGAGCACTGCAACCCCTATGATTTTAGGGAGGAGATGTTAATTTAATAACGGGATGGAATTTTTTGAGATGTAGCCCATCTGTAGGCTATAATTTAATTCTCATAACTGTTTTCACATTTAAGATTGACTGTTTTACATGTCCAAAAAATACGGAGCCAGGGTAAGGGTTAATAGCCTAAAATCGGAAATTCCCTGAAATTAAAGTTACAAAAAATTCAAATCACTCAACCTACACCCAATTCACAGCAAAGTCTCTTAAGGTGCATGATAATATAGTATTGTGGGCAATCACCTATAGCCCATTTTCCACTGCATAGTACCAGCTCGACTCGCCTCGCCTTTTTTGGAAAAGTTGTACCTGT